AACATAAGCCGCGTCCTTGTCCCTTGACTTAGCAGTCAAGTGTGAGCTTTGCCTTTTTCCTTCCATGAAAACCGTCTCCCCTTCCTCCCCTGCATCAGACTCGCTCTGAGGCTTGCACATCCCTTTGATGAGGACTTGCTGGGCAGAAACCAGGTTTTTTTGGTTTTGTTTGTTTGTTTGTTTGTTTGTTTGTTTGTTTTTTGCTTTTTGGGTCACACCCGGCGATGCTCAGGGGTTACTCCTGGCTCATGCACTCAGGAATTGCCCCTGGCGGTGCTCAGGGGACCATATGGGGTGCTGGGAATTGAACCTGTGTCGGTCATGTTGGCTGCGTGCAAGGCAAACGCCCTACCCGCTGTGCTATTGCTCCAGCCCCGAAACCAGGTTTTTATTTCCAACCTTCTGCACCAGGACACTTAGTCACTCATGAGAAATCGCCAATCCTGTGTGGCATAGAGATGAGCAGCTAGAATCCTTCATGTGAAATACAGGTGTCCACCAAAGGCTTACACTGGAAAGACTCTCAGTATTAGAGTAAATTAGAGGAGGAGAACTGGGTTCTGTTAGGCTGTGCAGGTTGAATTATTGTTCCGTTCAGTTGAGCAAACGCAAATCCCAACTGAACATCGTGAGTCGGGCGGCTAGGTACTCCGGTAACATCCTGCCGATACGTCTTCATTATTTTCATGTCTCTTTATTTCCCAATTGCCTGCTTCTCCATCTTTTCCTGCCTCCCACATGCACTCTGATCTTACACTGTGAATTCTGTGAGAACAAAGACAGTGTGCCACTCTACTTGGCCCTTTTGTGTTTTGGAGCCAGATAATGTTTAAGTGACTCTACGGACTTTGTTTGCTTGGGAGCCACTTCTGGTGATGCTCGGGGGTTGTTCCCACTGGTGCTTAGAAACTCTTGCGCCCAGTCCCTTCAGCTTTCTCTCCAGTACTAAATTTGTAAAAAGGAAAATCAGATCACCAGTTACCCTTCAATCCTGTTAGAACCTTTAGAATTCCCCCCAGTTGGCTTTTTTCTCCCAGTATGTTAGCATTACAATACAGATTTTAACAATAAGTGTCACTGTGAGGTAGCACAAATTAATCAACTTTTATTTCTCCAAGCAGGCCGTCACCGTGTACAGGCTAATGAGAGCTTGAGAACTGGAGTTAGCACGGTGTAGCCTCATTCCTAAGGGCTCGCTCAAGGGCCCCTTCCTGTACCCTCCCCACTTCTCATAGGCACACTCAGTCCCTCTGCGTAAGTGACTGTATAGGTCGGCACCTGTGGAGCAGGAGAGATGGTATAACGGGGAGGAAAGGACCCGCTGAAGTAGGCGCAGGGTGGAAGGTCGAATCTAAGAGCTGTGTTCTCAGGGACAAGTCTCCGAGAAAGGGCACAGAGCCTCGAGTGGAAGGGTGATGAGTTTTTATTTGAGGGAAGGAGGAGACAGCTAGGGAAAGAGAGGAGTATATGGAAGAAGCACAAGGACACGGACGTACAAGGAAGTCTGTGTTAAGGGAAGTGCAGAAGATGAGGCCAAGTGGGGAAGGAGGAGGTGAGTGGAACCAGTGAATGAGTTTGGAAGCGAAAAGCCGAAGGGAACTTGGGGGTTCCTTTTGATTGATTTTTATTTTGGGTGTTTTTGTTGTTGTTGTTTGTGAAGAAAGTTTTTATTGAGACTTTATTTAGAAATATATGAGAAGGGGAAAAAAATACATGTGAGGGGAGAGGGAGAAATACATGTTTGAGAGTAAACACAGGCCTCTCCAGAGTGGACAGGGCCAGCAAAGAAACAGAGAAGCAAACGGGATAGATACACGTTCAAGGGAGAACCTGGGCTTGAAGAGCAAGGCCAACTTGGGAAATTTTGACAGCGTGCTCTCGCTGTTTCTCTGTCAATTTTTTTAGAGACTTTCTAACCTTATTTTTCACTGTTTCTACTTTTTCTGCTAGTGCCTTGTGCCAGGCTTGTTTATTGAGTTCATGTAAAATGTTCTAGGGTTATAGTTTGAAACATCCTCAAATTCCAGTGAAGTTCCTCCTCCTGTCACTCACCCGAAGTAATTCTGTGCCATGGTTAGCCATTGTGACCCTGATCTCATATTGTTCTTTGACGAATTGAGAATGTGCATATCTCAACTCATACAGAGAGATAGCACCAGCTGTAAGGCACTTATTTTCCTGGCATGAGGCCATCGTTTGATCCCAGGACCACCAACTGTTGCTCTGGATACTACCAATCGCCTCACAGGTACAGATTACCATGCTGGCGGCACCATACCCCCCACTCTTCAGTTTTGACCCATTGCACTGCACCCACAATAGTTAGCCAGTCATTTGGTTTGAGGACCACACCCAGTGGCGCTCTGGGCTTACTCCTGGCTCTGCGCTCAGGGGTCACCCAGCGGGGTCCTGAGGGGCCCTGTGTAGTGCTGGAAACCAAACCTGGGTCAACCACATGCAAGTTAAGCGCCGTACCCGCTGTGTTATTGCTCCAGCCCCAACAATTGGGGGTCTGACAAAGGCCTTGTTCTCGGCCAGATCAAAATGCAGCTCAGTATTTTCCACCTTGGAGCCCGGTTCAGTTGCTTGTACTTTCTGAACAGTGCCGCTGCTGTTTTGTGTAATTTGAAGTAGCAGAGGGCAGATATACAGTTACCTAAATGTCCCAAGTTTCCTCCTCTGGCGGGGGTCCTTGAGGCCCACTGCACCAAGAGGTGGGGGTAAGCAGCCGCCTCAGGGCAGCCTGGCACTCACTTGATTTGTTGCTGCCACCTGCTGGTGCCTGGAGAAAGGGCGGCTGCTCAAAAACCCTGCGTGGAGTCCAGATGCTAAGGCTTTACAAACCCGAGAGCATGAAGAACTTGGCCCTCTGAGCTCTTGTTTGCTTTTGGGCTACTCCAGGCATTGCTCGGGGGAACCCTCTGGCACTGGGAATTGTACCTGAGCCTCCCACATACGAAGCATGTACATGGTCCTTTGAGTCATCTCCCTGACCTTCTTGATTATTTTTAAATGGATGTTTCATTTCACTGAAGTAAAACTATTACACAGTGGCCCAGGATGTGCTTCAGCAGTGAAGCAGTGGCCTGCATGTGTAGCCCTGTGTTCAATCCCTGGGGGAGAGAGAAAGAGCATATCTTCCATCATTGAGGTGAAACACTGTAATATTATAACTAGTCCTTTGAAGCATGCACACACAAAAAAAAATTTTTAGATTGGTTTGTCTTTACAGCCAAAAAAAAAAAAACCACTTTAAAATTACTACCTTTTCCCAGGAGCCAGGGAAATAGCTCAAAGACTGGACACCTGCCCTGCATGCAGAGGCCCCAGATTTCAGTCCCAGAACAGAATGCCCCCACCAGGGAGTGGGATGTGGGGTGTAGGGGTGTCCTGGTGTCCTGCACGCCTGGGCATGGGGTGAACAGGCCCCACATTTGTCAGTTTATAGTGGAATAATTTGGCCTTAGGAACTGATAAGCGCAGTGAGGTTTACTGCTACATTTATTATAGCAGTCATTTGCAGGAATATAGTGACCATTTGGTTAATAGTGGTTGAACTTGCACAGGCCGTAAATACCTCAATACAGGGGCCTGCCCAGCATTGTTCACCGAACATAGGAGCTTCCGCACCCACAGTTTGGGGCATGGATTTTCACCACTTGTTTAGGGGCTACTCTGGGCTCTGTGGCCATGCTCAGCAGTGCTTGAAGAAGCATGAAGTGTTAGGGTCCAACTTGGGCTTCCTGCATGCACTGCATGAGCTCTTCTGTGTTTTTTGTTTGGGGCTTTGGTTTTTTGTACATTTGTTTTTGGCTTTGGAGGTCACACATGGTCATGCTCAGGGCTTACTCCTGGCCTTCGCTCAGAGAGCACTCCCAGTGGAGCTCGGGGGAATATATGGGGTGCTGGGGATCAAACCCAGGTCGGCCATGTGCAAGACAAGCACATTGATCTCTGAGCACAGAGCCAGGAGTAACCCCTGAATATCGCCAGATGTGGCCCTTCAAAACCAAAAAGTTTAAAAAGTTTTAAAAGAATTATTTACAGAACTTACCTTGCATTGATCCAGATTATTTACAGTGAAATTAGGGATTGGGGGATGAAGAACATTTTCCCCCCTTTGAAATATTTACTTCTAACCTGTAAAATGAGGAAATGTTTTCTAAATGAGGACTCCGTGTCCCTGTTTCTTCTTCAAAGCACCATAACCTCTGTACTCTCACTCCAACTCTGATATCAAGTTTGAGTAATTTACCTTAGAACTGAGAATTCTGAAAATCTCTTATATGCTTGCTCATAGAATATTCCAGTTCAAAAAAAATTTGTGTTATAGATATGTTATATCCATATATGTGTGTATATATATACACTATATATATATTCAGACATAAACATACACAATAAATACTGTCACACTTAGCAACCCTGTCGCTGTGGGCACTGGGCCCCAGTCATTTGCTAGTGTATTTTCCACTAGCCTATTTTTGTTTGTTTGTTGTTGTTGTTTTTTATTCATAATTTTTTTCCTTTTTTCTTTTTTATATAATTTTACTTATTGAATCACCGTGAGAGCAGTTACAAAGTGTTCGGGTTTAAGTCTCGGTCATACAATGAAACATCTGTGCCTTCACCAGTGCCCATTCTCCTACTTTGATTAAATTCAATATTTTGACACCAGACCCACCATTAACATTTGGGATTTTACCCCAACACTCAGATCTGCTGAAAAGGCAACAGTAGACAATTTGTTTCCCACTAGCCTATTTTTAAGTTGAAGTGATTGGCTCAGGTTGTTCAATTCCCGAGAGACCATAGTCAAGTTCGTTTTCTGCAGGTGTTTTATACTGTATGCATAAAACCAAAAGACTATTACTTGAACCTCTTTGTTGAGAAACCTTGACCTCCCCAAGCCTTCATTTTTATTATCCATGTGTGTGATGTGGTACCATATTCATTTTCTGCCTTCTCCTCTGGGTTTGTTTGTTTTTTTTTTTTTTTAGGGCTACCTGAAGGAAATCTTGAAGGAAATTGGCATTCAGAATGTAAAAGGGATCCACAAGAACACGTGGGAGCTAAAGCCGGAGTACAGACACTATCAAGCAGAAGAGAAGAGTGACTGAGACAGCCTCAGAGCTTCGGGCCACATGCAACCCGAGACGGGACAGGCTGAATTTTTTAAACCAGTAATTCTTGAGAAGTTCCTTGAGTGTTTGTTTGTTTGTTTGTCTGTTTGTTTAAGGGAAAAAAACAAATTTGGAACCGGAGCGCAGGAGCGGTTGTACAATGGGTAGAGCGCTTGCCTTGCACACAGCTGACCCGGATTCAATCCCCAGCATCTCAGAGGGTTGCCCCGAGCACCGCCATGATTGATCTCTGAGCACAGAGCCAGGAGTAACCCCTGAGCATCACCAGATGTGGCCCTCCAAAACCAAAAAGTTTAAAAAGAATTATTTACAGAACTTACCTTGCATTGATCCAGATTATTTACAGTGAAATTAGGGATTGGTGGATGAAAAACATTTTGCCCCCCTTTGAAATATTTACTTCTAACCTGTAAAATGAGGAAATGTTTTCTAAATGAGGACTCCACGTCCCTGTTTCTTCTCCAAAGGGCTGAGGTTGTCGCGATCCTAAATGAACAACACAACAAGAAGTGGTCAGTTGCAGGTCGGTTGCAGGCACTCTTAAGCTGAATACAGAACCAAAGCTCCCTAATTTGAAAGTGTCGAAGAACAAGGCATTTAATCGGGGGGCCTTGGGTGGCTTTAATAGGTGATCATGTTTGATGTTCATATTCCTTAGTTAGAGGAAAGCACTTACGTTTGTGCTAAGAAGTTTCCACAAATTGTTGATTATACGGTAGTGACTATGACATGAGAAATGAGGCAGAAATCATAGTCCGCTGGTAGTTCTTTTGTTAGCTTTAGAAATGAAATACTTTCCCAAAAATTCAGAAGGGGTCTCCCCAGTCCAAGGTATAAGCACTCAACACTGATGGCCTCAGAGTTTTCTTGCCTGCCCTGCAGACTTCGGTCAGTCAGCCTGTAACCATGGCAGCTCTCTGGGCAGCCCACATCTTAGACACAAACCGTGTCAAAGCCTCGGGATTAGAAATGTTTCCTTTGTTTTCCTTAATTTTAAATAAAAGCGATGCAAGTCCATGGTTAAAGTTCTACCTAGCCCAAAATTTGGCTGAAATTGTACCCACAAACATTACCAAAGCAAAAGAAATTTTAGTAAACTGAGTCCAATAAAAACCTGCTTGTTTGTTTTTTAACTTGTCTGTTTTGGTGCCTATATTGTTGCAACCAAGAAGTCACAAATAACAAAAAAAAAAAAAAATTTAAGATGCTGTGTAGGTAAAAAAATCCAGGAGATGCTACAATACTTTGCTCTCTTACTTGATTTTTGACAGTGGAATACCAGAATTCCAGGATTTACCGTCGCTGCCCAGAGAATTTGTATCCTCTCTGACTAGGGGATGTGTTTCTGCTCCCTGCCCCCACTCTGAGGACTTCCCCTGCCTTGCTCTTCTGCAGGAACCTGTGTCCCCCCTCCCCAACATTTTTCTGCTGCTTGCCAGGGAGCAGTAGGTAATCACGTCATCAGTCTGACCGGAACTGAGAACGCAAGGTCTGTGCCTGCAGTTCCCTTGGACAGTGGTACCTGTCTGCCTGCACACACCACAGCCTGGCTCTGCAGTAAGAGCCGAGAGACCCAGCCCATCCCCCCGCTGCCAGGCGAGATGGAGGAGGACGCCTGACTCAGGCTGGAGAACCTGACCGTCGTCGCGGTTCGGCTGCTGCACCACAGGGGTCGGGGGGCAGCGAGTGGCCGACTGGGGTCGTGAGGTCCTCCAAGTCGGATAACCCGTGGGGGGCTGGGTCTGGGGAGCCGGAAGCCATCGTGTGGGCGTGGCCTGCGGTGAGGTGTGCTGGACAGGGCACAATGGGCAGGGAGAGGTGTGGTGGACAGGGCATAATCAGCGGGGATGGAGGAGGGGCCGGGGCCCGTGTGCCCCGCCCTTGCCCGGCTCTGCTTGCCCTGATTCCCTGCCCTGCCCCTGACCCATCACTGCGAGTTGTCCTGGTGTTTTAATTTTTGAATGTTCTAGAGACACATGGACTACCAAATCAAGAGCTTTATCTTCTTCTCACCCCCCCACCCCCAAACCCCCATCCCCCATACATACACAATAAAATATTTCTGGTCTACAAGAAAAGACAAAATAATGCCATTTGTCTCTATGGAGATGGAACTGAGAAGTATCCTGCTAAGTGAAATCTACCAGGAGAAAGATACAAAATGATCCTTCTCATATGTGGGATATAAGGATGCACAGTAAGGGAATACCAAACAGCCAAAGGCAGTAAAGCCTGATAAATGCTCTATAGAATTGGCCAGGTACATCTACCGGGCTGATCTTTAGAGGCCAGCCACACATGCTAGGGGAAAAGGCAGCTCAGATAGAGAAGGGAGCACCAGATAAAGGGTGTTGGGAGGATCCGCCCAGGATGGGAGATGCATGCTGGAAGTAGACCATAGACCGAACATGATCGCCACTCAATTCCTTTCTGCAAACCACAGTACCCAAAAGGAGAGAGAGAACAGAAGGGAATGCCTTGCGGGAGGAATATTGGGATCAGTGGTGGTGGAGAATGGGCACTGGTGGGTGGATGGGTACTCGATCATTGTACTTCTGAAACCCAAGCACAAAAATTTGTACGTCTACAACTGTACCTCAATGTGTTTCACTACTAAAAATTAAAACAAACAACAACAAAAAAAAATTCAGGCAAACATAGCATGCTTTATTGCCCGTCTCCATGTGAAAACCGATCCCAATTCGAAACTGCCCATTCACGCAGAATCCCGGGATCTGAGTAGGAACAGCATAACTGTTGTGATTTTTGATCCAATCTCTTCTCAGAATAAACTTGCCGGACTCTCGTCAATAATCTACGGGAGGGAGGTCCGAAACTTTGGGCTCCTGAGCCATGGTGCCGGGGGACCCGGGCCCCTGGGGCTCCTGGACCTGGCCCGGCGTCGGGGGCTGCACCAAGATCTTGCGCACGGTGCTGCCCTTGCTGGAGCTGGCGTGGAGAACAGGGGCGTCCGTGTGTTCCCCAGTGGTCCGGCAAACGAACGGAGGTGGCTCTGGCACGGTGGTCTCGGGGCGAGGCCGCAGACAAGGGGGCTCCAGAGGCCAGGGGCCGCCAGGCCAGGCCAGGTCGGGACTCTGGGCAGAGGGAGGGTGGCCCTGGACGGGCGCTCGTGGCGGGTATCTCAGAGCAGCCTGCCACGATTGGCCTGTGAGCAGCTGTGGCAGCCAGGGTGAGGCGTGGCTGTGCGCGGGCAAGAGAAAAGGAAGGCAGCCGGCTGTGGACAGCGTGGGCATGCTGGACCACAGGGCGGGGGATGGCTGCGGGCGAGGCGAGGCGTGGCCGGACAGCAGGCGTGGGCCCGCGGGGGCGCGTCCGGGACTGGGCACCGGCTTCCGGACGGCCTGCGGCGGGGCCCGGTCCGGTGGGGCCCAGGCCTGCGGCAGGATGGCCCCCCTGCTCCCGTGCGACCGCAGATGCTTGGCCATCCAGGACCCCACGGCCCGGCTCTGCAGGCGCAGCCGAGAGACCCAGCCCGTCCCCCCGCTGCCAGGCGAGATGGAGGAGGATGCCTGGCTCAGGCTCAGGTTGGAGAAGCTGCCCGTCGCGGTTTTGGGGACACGGCTGCTACCCCGCGGGGGCGCCTGCGAGTGGCCGATGGGGGTCGTGCGGTCCTCCAAGTCGGAGGACCCGTGGGGGGCCGGGTCTGGGGAGCCGGAAGACCGGGCCTCCGTGGTGGTCTCGGCAGCCCCGGCAGCGGCCGCGTTGGCCTCGATATCATCCCACCCCGCGTCCAAGTCCCACAGGACCCAGATGGCCAAACAGATAACATTCACAAAGCAGATGCCGGCCACCAGGTAAATCAACTTGTCCCAGTTGCCCTCCGGGAAGCGCCTGGCGGCCATCAGCAGCAGGAAGCCCGCCGTGCTGAACGCGAAACTGAAGCAGGAGAGGAAGAGGCAGCGGTGCAGGGACAGCCTCGTCCTGGGCAGCGCCGTGCTGCCCTGGGACGACCGCACCTCGTACAAGGAGCTGCTGTTGCGCGTCATTTCTGACCTGTGGCCTGAAGCTCGGCTACAGGCCAAATGAAGCCCAGGAGGGCCCTGGGTCTCCTAGACACCTCCTGTGGGCGTGGCCTGCGGTGAGGTGTGCTGGACAGGGCACAATGGGCAGGGAGAGGTGTGGTGGACAGGGCATAGTCGGCGGGGATGGGGGAGGGGCCGGGGCCCGTGTGCCCTGGCCTTGCCCGGCTCTGCTTGCCCTGATTCCCTGCCCTGCCCCTGACCCATCAGTGCGAGTTGTCCTGTTGTTCTTTTCATTTTTGAATGTTCTAGAGACACATGGACTACCTAATCGAGAGCTTATCTTCTTCTCACCCCGCACCCACCCACCCCCGCCCCCGCTCCAGTTGAGAATGACTTACATAGTAGGTGTGGAAATATTATTTGGGGGTTGGAGAGAGATAGTACAGAGGTTCAGGCACTTGTCTTACGCATGACCAACCCAGTATCGTTCTCAGGCACTCCGTCTTGCCCCTGAGCCTCGAATACAGAGCCAGGAATAAGCTCTGAACCTAGCTGAGTACATCCACCCTCCTCTCCCACCCTCCAAAAGAGAAACAAATAAGAAAAAGTATACAAAAATAAGATTTTCTAATAGTCTTTGCAGCTAGAAGGGGGCTTCAGAGCCCTCTTGGTTCTGGGGTCACTCTTGGCTCGGTGCCCAGGGATCCCTCTTGGCTCAGTGCTCTGGAGAATACACAGTCCACTTGAAAAACAAGTGCTTTACCCCTATTCTGTCTTTAGAACCCTATGTGCATTAAGTTTTTTAATGACTTTATTTCACATAATATAGTACGGAGGTAGCACAGAATAAAATTAGTTTCATCTTTTGGCAATCAAGAAAGCCTTCTCAGGAGTCGGCTTCTGAACTCAGTTTGAAGATCTGAGCCGACTCTTGAAGGAGTGTAGGAATCCAGTGAGACCCAAGCGGCAGGCAACAGAGCACAAGGAAGTGCCTGGGCAGCCGGGCGCAGTGTCCCCCCCACACGTCCCTGCAGCCTCCAGTGGCACTCACTCCCTGCCCTTCAAAGCCTGGGCTTGGGCCAGAGCGCTGGTATAGCAGGGAAGGCGCTGTTCCATCCCCGGCACCCCACATGACCCCCCAAACCTGCCAGGAATGATCCCTGAGTGCACAGCCAGGAGTGTAAGCCCTGAGCGTTTCCAGGTATGGCCCAAAAACAAATGAACAACAAAGATCAAAACACAACAAACTAGGGGCTGGAGGGATAGCACAGCAGGTAGGGCATTTGCCTTGAACGCAGCTGACAAGGGTTAGATTCCCAGCATCCCATATGAGCACCGCCAGGACTAACCCCTGTGCATCTCCAGGTGTGACTCAAGAAGAAAAAAAAAAAAATCAAACCTTGTAATGTGGGCCAAGAAATGTGTCTCTGTGGCAGAGCACTCACCTTGCATGCATGAGGCCAGACTCCTCGGACTCTGTACCAAATGTTTGCCTGTGTGTGGTCTGGTAAAGGCAAGATGACATCGATGAAGATATAGGTCAGTGTTGGCTGGGAGCTGACCATGCATGGAGGGGTGGGACTCTGCCACCCACTGCTGCAGATCTTTAACCAAATGGGATAGGGCTGAAAAACCTGGCGGGGTTCTTTGAAGTTACAGGTGTCTTCTCTTTGTTTGAAAGGGGCTTTTCTCAGGCCAGTGGGTCCAGCCAGTGGAGTTTTGTCAGTTCAGGTCAGAACTCAGACGCCAGCAGGACAAGGCCTTGGTTTCATGGTCTCCATCGTGTCTAATGCTTGTGTTTGCCGGGGAAGGGGGGGGGGGCAGTTACATGACCGCTGTCACCAGTGACCCAGGGTGGAGAAATGTTGCAGGAGGGAAAGGAAAGTCTCACAAGGGCAGCAGCTCTGAGCGATCACAACAAAAATGTTCTCTAACGTCCACACCAGGGCCCAGTTTTGTTTGTTATTGCTTTATGGGTCACACCTACAATCCTCAGGAGTTAACTTCTGGCTCTGCACTCAGGAATTACTCCTGGCGGTGCTCAGGGGACCATATAGAATGCTGGGGATCAAACCTAGATCAGCCACATGCAAGGCAAACACCCTCCCCGTTGTACTATTGCTCTGGCCCCAGATCTGCACATATCTCAT